GCAACAACAACAACACACACACGCAAACACATACACACATATATTAATTGGTGTTTGCTTTCTGTTTTGTGCACAACTAGGTCTGTAAGGTTTTCAGCACCGTGCCTGAGACAGAATAGATAGGCTCAGCAAATGAGTGAACAGATGAAGATGAGTGGATACTTTGAAAACCAAAGTAACAATGTCAGATTACATGGTTTGATGTGAATTTTGCATGTCAGTTTGGTTAGGCAGTTTGGTTAGTTTGGTTAGTGCACTGTTGTTTGTCCAAATACTAGTCAAAAGTCCATTATGAAGTAGTTAAATAAGATTGAATAATATTGTGGGTGAGTCTTAAATAATGGCTTGAAGGATTTAAGAGAGAAGGAAAAGGAAAACTTGTGACCGAGCAGATAGGGATTTGCAGTGCCACTCCAAAATTGGGAGGTTCAAATCCACCAGCTGCCCCTTCAGAGGAGAATGGGCAATCTCCACCCAAGTGATTTATAACCTCTGAAAACCTGATCAGCTACGAGTTGGTTCCAACTCTAGAAGAATGAGTTAAACTGAAAAAAAAAATAATTAAAAAAAATACCTAGAGTATTTTACCTCTAAGGTACAAATAGATGTTTTACAAAAACTCTCTTACTCTCTTTACTCTTGTTCTTCTCTGATTAATGGATTTTGGAAGACAAGATTGAAGACATCTCCAGCCTTTATTCTGATCTATGGTATATGGATTTGTTAGGTCCCACAATCTTATGGAACAATTCTTTAAAATTTATCTATCTATCCATCCAGAAATTCCTGGTCCTGTGTCTCCAGAGAATTTTTATTAAGACACATGATATCAAATATTTTCTACTTCTCCCAAGAAGCAGCCATCTTCTTGATTTACCCATTCAGAATATAACCCTTTAATGCCAGCTTTTATAAACTCTTAATGCTTGCGTTTCTCATATTTTCTTTTTATTCCAGTGATTTATTTGTTATGAATTGAAACGCACATGAAGGCCTACAATTCTGTTCTCACCACTCTTATTCTCTTTTCCTGAAGCTATTTATGCTGCATAAATTCCTTCATAAAAAGAAATTTTGACCAAAGTTTTATGAAAATTATTTTTTCCCCTTGATAATTTATTTTTTTCAAATTAACTGAATGTTTAAACCTTTCTTTGGAAGTCAGAAAAGTCTCATAATAATATATAAAGACTGGATCTAGGCCATACTTGAGAAATAATAATAATTCTACTATTCCTGTTGTGAATTTTTCTTTTATTTCATCAACATATACTTATTTTGCACCTTTTATGTGTCAGGAAATAAAGATATAAATAATTTCCCCAAGGTCACACACTAAATGACGGAGCTTGGCTCTATGTTTTTTGATTTTGAAGCTTTCAGTGTATCTTCTGATTTTGTTTGATTTGTCATGATAGGAAAAATTCAGATTATATAAGACTTAAAATATAAATGTCTTACTTTCCCCTTTTCTAACAGTTTTCTATATTTCACATTTCTTTACCTTCCTGCAGACCTTATATTAAGCAGCAATAATTTTCCCTTTAAAAGATGGATTGACACAATAGCTATAACAATGGACACAAATGTAGCAATGAGTATGAAGAAGACTTAGGACAGGGTAATATCCTTTCTCATATAGGTAAAATCATACTGACTTGGAGCTGGTTTGAGGGAAACTAACAACATTTGTTTTTCTAAAAAATTTTCTGTATTTCCAGGTATACCTATAAACTATGTTTCCAATATTCTAAAATTATTTTGCTTAATTATATTTTGTTTCTTTTGATTTTCCAACCCATAGATGTGTATATATTCTAAAATAAGGTTACATTTTCATAATATTCACAGAGGAGAGCACATCTGTTGGGGGATTAATGAAACAAGACCTACAATATAGGGTAGAAGGGAAGGAGAGATTAAAGGTAAAATATTTCATCAGAGAATGAGTGAGCTGGTTAGCATCAATTTAAATCAACAAACACATTTGCAGAAAAATACTACATGGTTACACTGTTGTTGTGTGTGGTTGAGTTGGAACTGATTCATAACTGACATTTCAGCAGGCTTTCAGAGGTCGTAAATCTGATGGGAGGAAGCTGTCCATCTTTCTCCAACAGAGCAGCTGGTGGATTTGAACTATGTAAGGTTAGTGTGGCAGTGTACCTCCTTACCGCTAAGCCACCAGAACTCTCTTATGGTTATGCTGCTGCTGTTGTTGTTAGTATGTGACAAGGAGTCATCGACGATTCATAGTGACCCAAAGAACAATAGTTCTGAGCCCTGCCATACTCTGAGCTAATCTCACAGCCTCCAATATACCTACCCCTATTACCCCAGTCACTGTGTCAATCTCATCTGGGGTCTTCCTTTTCTAAGTTGTGCATCTACCCTTCCAAGTATGATGTCCTTATCCCAGGACTGGTCCTACCTGGCAACATTGGCAAAGTGTCAAAACCTTGCCCTTCAAGGGGCAACTTAGCTTCACCCTCTCCAGGACAGAATTTTTGTTTGTTTTCATGGCAGTCCATGGTATGTTCAATACTATTCTCCAGAATTACAACTCAAAGGCATCCATTATTTTTTCGACATCTTTAGTCATTGTCTAGTTCTCTGATGTAATTATGAAGACTATAACCTGGGTTAGTACACATTAGTCTCTATACTGAGCTTGTTGCTCTTCAGCACACTGGAGAGGTCCTTAACAGCAGACTTTCCTAGTGGAACTTGTCTTTGGATTTCCTGACTACTGGTGCCAAGAGTATTGATTGCGGTCTGAGCAAGATGGAATTTTTAACAATCTAAATATCTTCTTCATCTGTCATCATGCAGTCAATATGCCTGGTGGAACAAAACTTTGCTTTCTTGATGTCAATATGTAATCCATAGTAAAGGGCACAGTCCTTGACATTCTGCAGCAAACATTTCAGATCCTCCTCAGTTTCAGCAAGTAAGATATGTCATTTGTCTAAGGCATGTTGTTGTTGAGTCTTTCTTGAATCCTGATGCCACATTGCTCTTCATAAAATTCTGCATCCCAAATTATCTGTTTTGCATATAACTTGAAAAGATATGGGAAAAGGAGCTAGCCATGACTGCTTTCTTGATTTTGAGCCATGCAGCATCTCCTTGCTCTGTTCTGATGACTACTTCTTGGTCTAAGTACAGGTTTCACATTAGCACAATCCCCATTCTTCTCAAGATTAGCCACAATTTGTTGTGATCCACCCAGTCAAATTCATTTGCATAGTTAATGAGACACAGATAGACATTCTTCTGATACTTTATGCTTGTAACGATCCATCTGACATTGGCAATAATGCCCTTAGTGCCAGAGCCTCTTAAAAACCCAGCTGTCTCTGTTGATGAACAGTCATGTTTGAATAATCTTCAGCAGGAGTTAGTTTGCATGTGATATTAGCGATTTCTATCATGTGATAGGAGAAATGGACACACAGACTTTAACATGTTATGACAGATGGAATTGTGGAGGTTGTTATGTGCTATCGAGTCGCTTGCCACTTATAGCGACCCTGTGTACAACAGCCCTAAACCCTGCTGTATCCTGTGCCAATCACACTGCCTCTGACACACCCATCCCAATTACCCCAGTCACTGAATCAATCCACCTCATAGAGGGTCTTCCCCTCCTGCGCTGTCTCTCCACCCTCCGAAGCACGATGTCCCTATTCAAGGACCGGTCCCTCATTACAACATGTCCAAACTATTCAGATGAAGCCTCAGAATCCTTGCCTCCAAGGAGCTGCCTGGTTTAACCCTCTCCAGGATGAATCTGTTTGTTTTCTTAGTAGTCCATGGTACATTCAATACTCTTCCGCAGCACCACAGCTCAAAGGCATCAATTCTCCTTCTATCCTCCCTAGTCACTGTCCAATTCTCTGATGCATAACAAGTGATTGCAAAGACCATGGCCTGTATCAGACGCACCTTAGTCTCCAGAGAGACACCATTGCTCTTCGGTACTTTGGAAAGGTCCCTAACAACAGGACAGGTGAAACAAAGATAAAGAAAAGACCAAAAGGGTGCTCAGAAAAACAAGTTATTCAACAGATTTAGTGGCTAGAAAGAGATGGTGATGCTTAGATAAAACGCATTTCTTCTGTAACTATTGCACCCACTCAATCACACATTTATTTACATGGTTAGATTACAAAACCCAGATAATAATGTAAAAGAAAAATGTATTATGTTAATATGGAGAGTAACCATACTAGACACAAATGGATGTTGAGCACTTCATTAGATAACTGTCAAATTACATAATATCATAACTGCCAAATTACTGAGAATCACAGTCCAGCAAAGTTCCTTTATAACCTTAGCCATTATAATCAGTATGAAGTGAGCCTCAAACCTCTCTATTTGTAACTACAAGACATACATTATTAATGCAAAGCAATCAGCAGGTTTTTTGCTATTGTCACTGATGTCATACATATAAAATGCTTACTAGCAACATTAAGTGAGGAATCCATGTATGTGCATGTGCACTTAAACTTGTATGCATGTGAGTCTTTCTGTCAATTTCAGATCACTAATACAGTGAAAGAAAAATAAAATATATTTAAAAGAAAGAACAGTCACATGGTCTCACATAATTGCTAATGTTTGGAGTAGAATGACATCATATTTGTCTAGTGTTTGTGAAAGAATTAACGCTAGTTTTTAGCATGTCCTAGAAGGATCTTCTGAATTATGTTTAGAATGACTTATTTAGAAATTTAATCTTGTCTTCTATACATAAGACACATCCCAGTAGAGTTTGATACTTAAATGCAAGCAATTTCACTGGTCTCAACAACAATGATGGCATCTGCAAAGTAAATGGTTTTCTTGAAATATTTCAATTTAAATGCATTGCTCTAAGTCTTGTCACACGTGTCTTTCTTTGTAACAGACATATTCTTGTGCTCACAGTACGTAAATATCTTTGAGATTTGGTTGTTTAACCAACCAGTTTCACTCTCAAGGGTACTTACATATTCCTCATAAGCCTCATGGGCTGGAGGAGGAGGGGCTCTGTATCCTGGCAATGTTGGCGCCCCTCTTGCTCTTGGGGTAGGAACTCCTCTTGCTACAGGTGGCACTGGAAGAGCTCCCCTGGTCACTGTAGTCCCCCGAGGGGTGAGGACACCTCTTCCAGGAGGTGGTGGAGGAGGAATTGCACCCCCACGGCCCCTACGAGAGACCAGACCACATGTACAAAGTCATACACATATGCCAAATAAGGAAGGAGAGTAAGAGATTGTAACAGATAAAGTTCTCATCTCACAAACAATAGGAAAGAGCCTACATTTATTTAAGAGTATTAGAATGTAAAGTGTATTGCCCTTCACAGTTCAAGAAAGCCAGTTTTGGTACCCTGTTTCCTCTGGCATCTTTTGATCTCAGTGTATGAGGCACTCATGCTGGGTTGTGGTTTGCAGTTTTGTTTTGTTTTTGTTTTTTTAATTCTTATTTTATATTGGCGTGCATACAAAATTTGTACCTTGTAAAAATATGATATTAACTACAACTTAGCTTCCATGAAAAGCACATAAACTAGTTTGATATTTTGAGTTATACAACGAAAACTCATGGTAAAATAGGGATAAGGGATCTCTAATAGCATAGTCCAGAGGTAGCCGTACTGTTATCCCAGAAGTCAAAATTTTCAAGTTCACCAGTTTCTCCACAGAGAAGGATGATCTATCTCTTCCCATTGCAATGTACAGCCTATGAAACCTGATAGAAAGTCAATGATGAGTCAGTGCTGACTCAAAGACAGTGAGATGTAAAAGAGACCAATAAACACTGTTGTTATACTCCAAATTTACCCAGAAAATCTAGTTTACCTGATCCAGGACTCACTGGATGACCTGTAAAACAGAGCTGTTAGATACTTAAGTCTCCTCAATGCTGGGGGTTATTGACAGTTACGTAAATGCTGTCATTTAAAAAAAAAAACAAAAAACAAACAAACAAAAAAAAAACCAACTGCACTATAATAAAATGTGGCCGTCTAAGTGGTTCCATCCTGTTTATTGTGACTGCAGCTTGTGGTCACTTGAAACCACCACTCATTGTCATTGTTTCATTGTCCTAAATGTAACCCCCATGTGCTGGCACAGTGCCCAATATATTTCCCTATGGTAACTATGACTCTAGTAGAATACATTAGCTGTGTACAATAAAAAGAATTGACTAAATCCTTTGCACTGCAGTGTTTGACACAAAAGTAACTTGCACCGACAGCTTATGATCAAATGGTTGCAGCCAACTTTTATGGTATTCCGAGGTCTTTGGAAAGGTTGAGTGTTTGTCTGATGTCTGTAGGCGACGGCACAGTTATTTCACTTTTTATTATGTCTGAAAGGTTGGCCTCGAGAAAGTACTGCTTTCAGCAGGAACACTAAAGCTTTGGGAGAAAATGATGATCATTGGGATGTCAACAATCACACTTTTTTGGCTGTACCCACATATGGGGGATGTAGGTTATGCTTTCTGCTATGAATAGCATCAGCTGCTTCTTTATTGCTTGCAGAAAATGAGCTTTTACGAAGTGAACAGTAAGAATGCTGGTAAAGCTTTTAAAAGTTTTAAATAGATTACAGAGCTGATGAATAGAAAAAATTTCTGAAACTTGTTCAGTGTGAATTTATTGTGAGTCTAATGTATATAGATGCTTTTCAAGGTTGGAGGAAAAAAGGTGATATACAAAAGAACCGAAGGTCTAGGCCCTGCTTTGAGTACAACATGACTAAGAACACAATATTCTGCATTATCAAAGTAACATAAAATGCATATCTGTGAGAAAAAATAGTATGTAAAAGCCAGCTTTATCCTCTTTTAGTGTACTAGTAAATGTTTACTCCTAAGTAGGCTGAGGCTACATGGAGGCTTGTTATCCTCGCTTATTTTTAAGCTCAGTATCTTAACACACTCAAGAGTATTATATTTTCATGATGAATTCCTGAGTCACTTTATTTTGAACTATGATCACAATGCCTGGTTAGACCAATGGATGAGTATGTATTACAAATTTCTAGACTTAATGAAGGTTTTAAATTTCCATTTCCTAAAGTTAAGGCAGATGACAGAATTCTTCAGAATTCTTCTGCTCCAGAATTACATGATCTAATTCCCCATCCTATAACTTCAATTCTAAGGGACAGGCCTTTCTAAGAACATACCCAAAGTACAGGAGACAAAATTTTGCCATCCTTGCCTAAAGGAGTACTCTCGCTGTACCTTCTCTAAGATATATCTGCTCATTATTTTGTCAGTCTATGAGATATTCAGTACTCTTCTCCAACACCACAACTCAAAGGCATAATTTTTATTTCTATAATTCTTATTAACTGTCTACCTCCCAGATGTACAGCAAATGAGTGAAAAGATCATGGCCTAAATAAAGTGCACCTTAGTCTTTAAACTGACATCATTGCTCCTCAGTATTTTAAAGAGGTCCCTGAAAGCTGACTTTCTCAATGTAATATGTCTTTTAATTTGACCGTTGGTGTCATTGATGTTGGTTGTAAATTCAAGTAAGTTTAAATCATTGACAATTTCAATCATCCACTATCATGATGTTGGCTGTTTGGCCCAGAGGTGAGGATTTCTGTCTTCCTGATTTGAGATGTAATCTAGATTGAAGTCTATAGTCTTTGATCTTCTGCAGCAAGAATTTCTAGTCCTCCTCATTTTTAGCAATCAAGTTAATACTGCATAAAAAATATAAAAGCTGCATAAAAAAGTAAAGCCACATAATGCAGGTTGTTAATGAGTCTTCCTTCTATTTGGATGCTACCTCTTTTTTTCTATAAAGTCCAGTCTCTCAATTTATTTGCTCAGGACACTGATTTGTGAAGCTTCATCTCCTATATTTTGGATATATCACTAGAAGGGGCTATCCCTTGGAAAAGGGGATTATGTTAGGAAAGGTAGAAGGTAAGAGAAAAAGAGGAAGACCTTCAACACGATGGACTGGCATAGTGACTGCAGTCATGGCCTTAAATGTGAAAGAAATGATGAGGATAGATAATGATAGGACAGGGTTCAAATCTGTTGTCTATGGAGTAGTTATGAGTCATATTTGATTTGATGGCATATAACAACAACAGCACCTTCAACAACTGACTTGTTGTATACCATAGAGTTGGAACCAACCTATAGCTGACCCTCTGGTGGGTTTTCCAAGGCAGTTATTTGCAGTGGAGGAGATTGCCCATCTTTTACCTGTGGAAGAGTTGGTGATCTTGAATTCCACTCCTTTGGGATTGCAGCACCACTTCTTGTTATTAGGCCACCAGAGTCCTCCACCAGACACAAAAAAGAGTAAACTTGTCTCTTAAACCTTTTACTTTACTTTCTAGATGATGTATCTTTTTCTTGACTTTTCACTTGTATACTCTGTGTGTTATGTATTTGACTGTGTGGGTCATAACAGCTATGGCTAATATTGAGAAGAATGGAAATCCCAGAACACTTAATTGTGCTTATAGGAAATCTATATCTAAATCAAAAAGGTGGTGTCTGAACAGAACAAGGGACAACCGTATGGTTTAGAGTCAGAAGAATTTGTATCAGGGGGTCTATCCATTCTCCATGCTTAATCAATCTTTATCCTGAGCAAACAATCCATAAAGTTGGACTCTATGAAGAAGAATGTCACAGCAGGATGGGAGGAAGACTCATCAACCACCTGACTTATTCAGATGACAAAACATTGCTTGCTCAAAGTGAGGAAGATCTGAAATCTCGTTTCAGAAAATCAACAACTGTAGCTTTCAGTATGAATCACATCTCAACAACAACAAGAAAAAAAAAGGTTCTTACCACTGGATCAATGGGCAACATTATTATTGATGGAGAAAGAATTTAAACTGTCAATGATTTCTTCCTGCTTAGAGCCACAATCAATTCACTTAGTTACCAATAATCAGGAGATAAGGGTACATATTGCTATAGCTAAGTCTACTGTCATGGATCTCTCCAAAATGCCTAAGAGCAATGATGTTAGTTTGAAGACTAATATGCATCTGATTCAGGCCATTGTTTTCTCATTTACTTGTTATGCATCTTAAAGCTGGACAATGACGAAGGATGACAGAAGAAGAATCAATACCTTTGAGTTGTAGTGTTGGAGAAGAGTACTGAATAGCCGATGGACTGCCAAGAGAATGAATATGTATGGCTTGGAGAAGGTGTAGCCAGAATGTTCTTTGGAGGCAAGGATGGCAAAGTTTCATCTCTCATACTTTAGAGATGTTGCTAGGACATGCTATTCCTTGGAAAGGGATATCATGCTCTCAATGGTGGCGTGTCAGTGAAAAAGAGGAAGACCCCATGGAGATTGAATTGACTCCATAAATTGACTGTAGTAAAGGACTCAAGTAGTTCAAAGATGGTGAGGATGGCACCGTGTACAGCAGGATTCAGAGCTGTTGTTCACAGGGTCACTGTGAATCATAATTGACTTGAAGGAACTTAACAACAACAACAACAGTAATAATGCTATGTGACCCTGCTGGTATCTGAAATATAGCTAGTAGAGCAACAGGCAAGCCACCACAATAGGGCAAACTGATTGACAAATGGGTGGTGACAATCCAGTATGCCTTCTACACTCCAACTCAAGTTTCACTTCACCTATTTATAACACTGCCTACATCTACTACAATACACTTTCTTAATTTCATGAGAGAAAGTTTTACGTCTTCATCTCTTTCTTGTTCTTCAACTGACTGTAATCTAGTGTTTTTGCCATTTTGTCAAAACTATTCTTACTGAGATTAGAGTAGCCTATCAATTTCCAAATCAAATGTGGGTTGTTAAGTTTTGGTTGGTTTTTTGTTTTTGTTTTGGTTTTTTTGTTTTTTTGTGGGGGAGGGTTGGTAATTTGCGTTTTTTCCCCATGCCCTATTTTCATACTAGGAGTTTTATTGGTGTGATGGTTAAACAGTAGTCTGCTAATTTAAAACCCACCCAGGAGAACACCTTGATGATCTACTCCTATAAGGTTCAATTAAACCCTTTTCCAGTCAATCTGTTCAGACTCACAATGACCTGAGTAGAACTGCCTTATAAAGCTTCCAAGATCAAAATCTTTATGGAAACAAGACAACATCATCTCCATCAGGGGGCCTGGTATGTTTTAACCACCATGTTTTGGTGAGCACATGATCACTGTCCCCTTC